CACCTTGACAAGGCGCTCTCCTCTGGCGGACTGCTCGGCCCGCTCTGGCGGCAGCTCGAGCCGGCCGGAGGTGGCGCGCGCGACGCGGCACTGGCGGCGGTGCGCGGCGCGGCGTGCTCGCGGCGGGGCTGCATTCTCGTGCTGCGGCAGACGGCGAGCGGCGGCGCGGCGGACCCGTTGGCGAGGCTGCTGCGCTCGAGCGACGCGCGGGCAAAGGTGGGCGCCTTTGCGGTGGCCGCGCAGCTCTGCAGCTCTTGCGCTCGATTCGCGGCGGACGGCGAGGTGGCGAGCGTGCAGCCGGCTCTGCGTGCGCTCATCGCCGCCGTCTCCCCCTCGGCGGGCACCGCACCCGGCGACGCCCTCGCCGCGCTGGTCGCGCTGCCGGCTGAGGAGCCCCCCGCGTCGCGGACAAGGGCACCTCTCCCCAGATCTCCCCCCATCTCCCCGCCTCCTTTCGACAGGAGCTGCGCGTCGCGGCGCTGCGGCTGCTGCTCGGCCTCGCGCAGCTTGAGTGGGGCGCGGGAGATGGGGCGATATGGGGAGAGACGGGGAGAGACGGGGAGATATGGGGAGATACGGGGAGATATCCATATCTCCCCACATCTCCCCACATCTCTAGGCGCGCTCGCCCTCGCCCGCTGCGAGGGGCTGCTCCACCTGCTGCTCCACGCGGAGGCTGTGCTGACCCCCGACGAGCTGCGCGACAAGCACGCCCTCGCCTCGGCGCTGCTCAAGTCGACGGCCGCTGCCGACGTGATTGGCGCCGGCGCGGCGACCGTGCGCCAGCTCCGCGAGTACGTGGCGGCAGGGCCGTTTGCGGCGCAGTCCAAGGCGGAGGCGCGGCCTGAGGGGCCGCTGACGCTCTGAGGCTAGCCGACGCCCGCCCCGTGCACCCCGGACCGTCGGGAGCAGAGTGGAAGTTCCCGGGCGGCTGGAGGGTGTCTTGACAGCGCAGCTTGAGGTGCCAGCTCCTTTTCGGAGCACGTGGAGCACTTGGAGTGCAGTCGCTAACCTCACATCCATTTCGGACCGCCGCGTTTTTCTTCTTCTGGCTTTCTCTCAAACACACACACACACACATAGAGAGCCTTATGCCTTTACCACTGTACGCACTGTGAGAGTGATACCGTACGACCCCCGCAGAGACGAGAAACCGTCTGAAGCTGGCAAGAGAGGTCAGGAACTTGCAGTGTGAAGGCCGAGGTTGTGTCTGTGTGTGAAGTCTGGCAGCCTAGGCCTTCCAACTACCGCACCTCTATCTCGCCAAAAGCGAGCGTTTTCTTCTTGCCAGGGAGAATGACAGTCACGTAGCGGTGCCTGGTCGGGGAAGGCGGGGGGAGGGGGGGGGGGGGGGGGAAGGGGAACCTTTCTTCCCAGGGAGGACCCTCATGGATTGTCACGGGAACTAATGGGGATTTAGGCCTGGCGGTTTGAGGGGAAGCAGGCCCCCTTGGACTTGGGAGCGTCCCACGGGGCCCTGACGGGCCCCTGGTCAACCCCCGGTAAGAAAACCCGGTGACCGGAAAGCTGCCCTACTTGGGGGGCGCCCCCACGAGGTCAGCGAAAAAAAGGAAGGCCCCTTTTGGCAACCCCTGGCGGTGGGCGAAGACCCCCCCCCCC